GCTGGCCCCTCAGTGCTGGCCCCTCAGTGCTCGCCCCTCAGTGCTGGCCCCTCAGTGCTCGCCCCTCAGTGCTGGCCCCTCAGTGCTCGCCCCTCAGTGCTGGCCCCTCAGTGCTCGCCCCTCAGTGCTGGCCCCTCAGTGCTCGCCCCTCAGTGCTGGCCCCTCAGTGCTCGCCCCTCAGTGCTGGCCCCTCAGTGCTCGCCCCTCAGTGCTGGCCCCTCAGTGCTCGCCCCTCAGTGCTGGCCCCTCAGTGCTCGCCCCTCAGTGCTGGCCCCTCAGTGCTCGCCCCTCAGTGCTGGCCCCTCAGTGCTCGCCCCTCAGTGCTGGCCCCTCAGTGCTCGCCCCTCAGTGCTGGCCCCTCAGTGCTCGCCCCTCAGTGCTGGCCCCTCAGTGCTCGCCCCTCAGTGCTGGCCCCTCAGTGCTCGCCCCTCAGTGCTGGCCCCTCAGTGCTCGCCCCTCAGTGCTGGCCCCTCAGTGCTCGCCCCTCAGTGCTGGCCCCTCAGTGCTCGCCCCTCAGTGCTGGCCCCTCAGTGCTCGCCCCTCAGTGCTGGCCCCTCAGTGCTCGCCCCTCAGTGCTGGCCCCTCAGTGCTCGCCCCTCAGTGCTGGCCCCTCAGTGCTCGCCCCTCAGTGCTGGCCCCTCAGTGCTCGCCCCTCAGTGCTGGCCCCTCAGTGCTCGCCCCTCAGTGCTGGCCCCTCAGTGCTCGCCCCTCAGTGCTGGCCCCTCAGTGCTCGCCCCTCAGTGCTGGCCCCTCAGTGCTCGCCCCTCAGTGCTGGCCCCTCAGTGCTCGCCCCTCAGTGCTGGCCCCTCAGTGCTCGCCCCTCAGTGCTGGCCCCTCAGTGCTCGCCCCTCAGTGCTGGCCCCTCAGTGCTCGCCCCTCAGTGCTGGCCCCTCAGTGCTCGCCCCTCAGTGCTGGCCCCTCAGTGCTCGCCCCTCAGTGCTGGCCCCTCAGTGCTCGCCCCTCAGTGCTGGCCCCTCAGTGCTCGCCCCTCAGTGCTGGCCCCTCAGTGCTCGCCCCTCAGTGCTGGCCCCTCAGTGCTCGCCCCTCAGTGCTGGCCCCTCAGTGCTCGCCCCTCAGTGCTGGCCCCTCAGTGCTCGCCCCTCAGTGCTGGCCCCTCAGTGCTCGCCCCTCAGTGCTGGCCCCTCAGTGCTCGCCCCTCAGTGCTGGCCCCTCAGTGCTCGCCCCTCAGTGCTGGCCCCTCAGTGCTCGCCCCTCAGTGCTGGCCCCTCAGTGCTCGCCCCTCAGTGCTGGCCCCTCAGTGCTCCCCCTCAGCGCTGGCCCCATGAACTGGCCCCTCAGCGCTGCCCTACCCGCTGGCCTGTGTTTCAGATCCTCTTCCTCAGCTCCTCGCTCAGCAGTGGGGAGCAGAACCTGTTCCTGAGCACGGACGAGGCCACCACCTTCCAGAAGCAGCTTGTGCCCTTCACCGTGGACAAGCTGATCTTCCACCCCAAGGACGAGGACAAGGTCCTGGCCTACACCAAGGAGGGCCAGGTGAGCGGGCGGGGCGGGCGGCGCAGGGCTGCGGCTGAGTGTGTGTGTGTGTGTGTGTGTGTGTGTGTATATTGTCTGTGTATGTGTACGTATGCATGTATTTTTTATTGATTTAGAGAGCGAGAGGAAGGAAGGGGGAGGGAGAGAGAGACCGAAAGACCGGCTGCCTCCTGCAGGCCCCCTTCTGGGGATCAAGCCTGGAACCCGGGCCTGTGCCCTGACCGGGGATGGAACCAGCCACCGTTCGGTGCCTGGGACGATGCCCAACCCACCGAGCGGCACCGCCAGGGCTGTTCTTGCAGGTTTTAGCCGCGTAACTGTACGTTCCTGGCGCACGTGTTCTTGCTTATGTCCTGGGGTGTTTGCCTTTGCTAAGCAGGAACATTGTATTTCCGCGCAGTTGGCGGTGCGTTCTAAAATCACCTCCCGTGAGAGCAAACGGGAGAGGCTTCGTGAGGTTCCAGGGCGGGAGCCGTCAATGCAGGTGGCTCAGCGAGGGTAGCCGTCCATTATGCTCGGGTCTGCAAGATGGGAATTGCTACCGTGAGCGGACGCTGTGCATCCTTGAGCGACTTACTTACCCTCTCTGAGCTTAAGTTCTCTGATGTTGTGTGGGTGTGCATGCGTGCGTGTGCATGCATGCGTGTGTGTGCATGCGTGTGTGCGTGTGTGCGGAATGAAGTGGTGTTTGACAAGCTCTGAGCTCTGTCCGGGCTCCGTGAGAGGCCACAGCCGCTGCCAGGCTCTCCCGCTGCAGCCGTAATGCAAACCCAGTCCCACCGCCCGTGTTCACTGAGCACCTGCTACCTACGCGCCTGCCAGCAAGGCGCTGCGTCCCTGGCCCTCCTGAGGCTTCTGTTCCAGGGCACGGGAGCTCCTCAAACAGCCCTTCCTCAGCCCCGGCCAGTTTGGCTCAGTGGCCAGAGCGTCGGCCTCTGGACTGAAAGGTCCCGGGTTTGATTTCGGTCCAGGGCACATGCCTGGGTTTGCGGCTCAGTCCCCAGTAGGGGGCGTGCAGGAGGCAGCCAATCAATGACTCTCTCATTGAGTTTCTATCTCTCTCTCCCTCTCCCTTCCTCTCTGAAATCAGTAAAAATATATATTTTTTTAAAACCCTTTCTCAGTATCATAGGTGATCATTTCCGATCACAGACCCTGGACAAGTGTCAGGAGACAGTGGCCTGCCACCTGTTTGTGAATAAAGTTTTATTGGCACACGCCTGCCAGTTGCGTGCTGTCCCCGGCTGCTTTCCTGCTCCAGGGGCAGGGATGGGCAGTCGCCACAGAGACCGCAGGGCTTTACAGGAAAGGGTGGCAGCCCCGGCCCCAGCCCCGGTCAGGGTGGGTGGCTTATTCATTCTGGGCCTCCAGCAGTGAGGGCTGGGCTAGGTGTGCTGACAGGTGGGCGGGGCTGAGTGTGTGACAGGTGAGCGGGGCTCAGTGTGGTGACAGGTGAGCGGGGCTGAGTGTGTGACAGGTGAGTGGGGCTGAGTGTGTGACAGGTGAGCGGGGCTCAGTGTGGTGACAGGTGAGCGGGGCTGAGTGTGTGACAGGTGAGTGGGGCTGAGTGTGTGACAGGTGAGCGGGGCTCAGTGTGGTGACAGGTGAGCGGGGCTGAGTGTGTGACAGGTGAGTGGGGCTGAGTGTGTGACAGGTGAGCGGGGCTCAGTGTGGTGACAGGTGAGCGGGGCTGAGTGTGTGACAGGTGAGGGGCCGGCTGGGGGCCCAGGAGCAGCTGGCTTTGCAGAGAAGCGGGAAATAGGACTGGGCGTTGGCCCCGGGTCCCCCTGCTCCGCCTCCCTCCTGGCTCCCCAGCTGCCTGTGGTCGGAGGACCCTTCAGGGAGCCCCACACCCGCCTTCAGCCTCTGGGGCTGCCCCGAGCCCCTGTGAGTGCAGGGCCGGTCCCCAGGTCCTCAGCCTAGGCTGGTTCCCCAGGAGCCGGGACGGGCTCTCGGGAGAGGCTCTTCCTGACCACGCACCTGTCTCTCTTCTCTCCGCCCCACAGCTCTACGCGTCCTGTGACCTGGGGAGGAAGTGGCTGCTGCTGCACGAGCAGGTGACCAAAGACCACGTGTTCTGGTGAGCGCGCACCCCTTGGTCCCGTGGGCCCCCTCCCCGCCCCGGCTCAGGGCTCCCTGCTCCCGCTCTGTCCCCAGCCCTGCCAGTCCCCACCCCTGGGACCTCCAGAGGGTCCCTTGCTCTGCTGGGCAATGCAGGAGCGGGGAGGGCTCTGGGGCTGGCGTCCCTCCGGCCACGCGTGCACTTGGCCTGTAGTTGAGGGGCGGGGCTGGCTCCTGGGCTGTGCTCTCGTGGGAGCGTGTTCTAGTCTCACGCACCAGCCAGGCCAGCCTGGGGCCCAGGCGTCCTGTGTTGGGTGAGGGAGGGAGGCCCACACAGGACAAACACCCGCCTAGCACCCGCCGAGGCCGGGCAGCGAGGCAGGAGCGGCCGCTCAGAGCCTCCCCGCAGCCGCCTTTCTGCGCACCTGCCTCTGGGGACGCTCCCTGCTTTCTGCGTGATTGCTCTGCCTTGCACATGCGCGTGAGCACACACATTCACACTCACACACACATACACACACACGCACACACACACTCACACACGCACACACACTCACACACACATACACACACACATACACACACATGCGCACGCACACACGCACACACAGGAGCAGCTCCCTGCCCTCTCTTGCCACACGCGCTCATGCGAGGCGTGGCGAGGAGCTGGTCTGCTGAGCCCGCCTGCGAAGGAAGCCTTTGTCCTCCATTGGACCAGCCAGGCCAGCCTGGGGCCCAGGCGTCCTGTGTTGGGTGAGGGAGGGAGGCCCACACAGGACAAACACCCGCCTAGCACCCGCCGAGGCCGGGCAGCGAGGCAGGAGCGGCCGCTCAGAGCCTCCCCGCTGCCGCCTTTCTGCGCAGCTGCCTCTGGGGACGCTCCCTGCTTTCTGCGTGATTGCTCTGCCTTGCACATGCGCGTGAGCACACACATTCACACTCACACACACATACACACACACGCACACACACACTCACACACGCACACACACTCACACACACATACACACAGCCGCAGGCCCAATGTCTCAGGCCTGGCGAGCACATAGCAGCCCAGACGTCCGTCCTCACGCTGCCGAGGGCGCCTGAGACCCGCCCTGGGATGGTGGTCCTTTTCGCACTGCCGGAAGCAGCAGCCCCGGCCGCACCGCCTCTGCCCATGGCCGGTGGCCGTGCTGCCAGTCATTGTACTATCGGTCACTGTGCAGGGAGTGTGGCCGCCTGCACTTTCCAGGGAAGCACGTCAGTGCTGCCCTCGCATCCAGGAGAGCAAGTCAGTTCTGAGCTCCCGCAGCATCTGACCCCAGATGCGCTTGTTGGTGGTCGTCTCACATGCCTGCTGCTCCTCAACAGTGTCCGGAGCCAGGCTGGGCCCTGCCCCAAGGGCCACCTTCGAGGACCTAGAGACTGGGGGTGCAGGAGTCCGCACCTGTCACCTCCTGCAGGGAGCCAACTCTGTCCGAGGCGCTATGAAGGCAGCGTGTCTTCCCAACTCGCGCGGGGTCTCTGCAGGGGCCGGGCCTCAGGCTGGCGGTGCTCCCCTGCCCAGTCCCAGGCCTCGATGCGGGCATGTGGGGAAGTAGCCATGGGGGTGCTCTGATGGGGGGTGAGAGACTGAGGGGATGAGCGGGGGAGAGAGAGCGAGTGGGAAGATGAGTGTGTGAATGAGTGAGTCAGTGAGTGAATGAAGGAGTGAGTGAGGGAGTGAATGAGTGAGTGAATAAGTGAGTGAGTGAGTGAGTGAGTGAATGAATGAGCGAGTGAATGAGTGAGTGAGTGAGTGAATAGGTGAGTGAGTGAATGAGTGAGTGAGGGAGTGAATGAGTTAGTGAGTGAGTGAATGAGGGAGGGAGGCAGTGAGGGACAGTGAATGAGGAGGATGAGTGAGTAACAGGCTGGTGTCATCGGGGACGCACAGCTGGCTGACTGTGAGACACTTCACTGCGCAGCCCCCCGAGGACCGAGGGCCGTCAGTGCCCCCTGTAAAGGGGACAGCAACCCTCCTTGTTAGGAAAGAGGAAGGCAGGCAGGAGGTGTCCTTCCAGGGGCGCACACACGCTCTACTCACAGAGCCTAGATGAATACTCCACCTTGCCATCGCGACTCCGCTGAGGGACAGGGCGCACACACGCACACACACACATGCACACACGCACACACATGCACATATGCATACGCACACACGCTCTACTCATGAGAGCCTAGATGAGCACTCCACCTTGCCATCGCGACTCCGCTGAGGGACAGGGTGCACACACACACATGCACACACGCGCGCGCACACACACATGCATACGCACGCACACACACGCACGCACACACGCTCTATTTACAGAGCCTAGATGAGCACTCCTCCTTGCCATCGCGACTCCGCTTGAGGGTCAGGGTGACTGGTGTGGCACCCACAGTTCAGAGGCCGGGGCACTACAGGGATCCCCACCCGCTCCCCCCGGCACATCTGCTGGCCCTGGCACTCAGACTCAGCATCCCCTTGCCCCCTGGGGCCACCTGGTCCCTGGAGACCCTTGGGAGGCAGGTTGAAAACTGAAAAGGGCCGACTGGGCGGTGTCAGTGGTGGGGGAGGGGCCGTTGGAGACAGAGAGCCTGCGGGGACCTCTCATCACCTGTGGGGACAGCGTGGGGATGGCCGCAAGGAAGACAGGGTGCTCCCCTGGGCCTGAGCCACCACGGGACGCGACCTCTGCGTGCTGACCCTCGTGAGCGCTTGGCACAGTGTGCTGCAGGGTCCCTGTCCCTGTCCCTCTGGGAGGAGTGGCCTGCTGGGGGCACGTTGGCTCGGATGTTATTGCAGTAAAGCACCCAGCTCACCAGACCCAGGTGTTCACGCTCAGGAGGAGGCGGAGTCGTTGGGGGCTTGGAAGGGAGGTGACGTAGCAAAGAAAACGCAGGCGGAGCACAGGTGACACCGACACAGCAACAGCTGGGACCCCGCCCAGATCTCCGCTGGGTTCCGTCCCATCGGAGAGCCTGCCCCTGGCCTCCTGCGGGGCCCTGTGCTGGGC